TAAAGTGACTGCCAGTAAAAGTTCATCTTTCACACATATAGGCCAGAGAGACACATATAATTATGATGCATCTGCTAGTACAGGTGATGTTCCTGTTGCAAGTGTTAAGCTCCTTAGTGTTGTTGATGACTCAAAAATTTGTTTATTTGACGATATTTGTGTTACAGAAAGATTGGATGATAGAGTGCAAAAAAGGGCAGAAATGTTTAGAAGAAATAGCTCTCCTGAAATACACCCTAGACCATCAACAAAATCTAATTTCATTTCAATCTTTGATATATTTCGAGAGAAAAAAGTTGGGAAGAATATTGAAAACAGAAGCTTGTCAAAACCAGATTTAAGAAAAAGATGTGATTCTGACAGCAGAAAATTACGAAGAGACAAAAGTGACCCATATATTTCAAGTTACACAAGCAGTTCTTCAAAATTGAGAAAGGGTAGTAGCTGTTCATCTTTTGCCTCTAAGAGAGGAACTCCAGTGTTAAGTAGAGATAGTAGTTTTGCGTCACCATTTGCCTCGAAACGAGGAACTCCTGTTTTAAGCAGAGAGAGTAGTATTGCTTCCTCCTTTGCCTCGAAAAGAGGAACACCGATTTTAAGTAGAGATAGTAGTTTTGCCTCTAAAGGTACCCCAAAATCTGGTCGTGGAAGTAATTCTAATTCACCATATGGTTCGAAAAAAGGAACACCAAAATTAAGTAGGGAAAGCAGTCTTGCATCGCCTTTAACTGAACGAGGGAGATATAGTGTTTCTCCTTGCACTTCAAGACGTAGATTGAATCAAGAAAGCAAAATCTCATTACTTAGTATTAATTCAAGCAAAGGACAGTCAGTTACACCAGAAGATCAAGGATATATACAAAAACCAAAGAAAATTTCTAAAGTTAATAGCCAACCCCAGTTAGAGGTAAAAAGCAGACTGCCTACCCCAAAGCTTAAAAGGAGAAAAAGTACCCCAAGATTAAAGAGACACAGAGATTCAGAAAATGAAAAACCAAAGTTGATGCAGTCTGAAGATAATTTAAAATTGAAGAAACAGGTAGACCTTGTGCATGGTTTTGATGGAGGGCCAGTAGTTAAACAGAGAACTGCTGGTCATTCTGCTGAAATAGGAAGAAAGTCGGATAGACCTAGAAGTTTAAGTGAACATAAGACTACACAGAAGATACAGGGCAAAGCAAAATCAGAGAAGAGTGTTACCACAAGGAAGAGTCGAATAGATTATTATCAGCTTTCAGTTGATGATAAGATAGAGAAGTGGCTGGAAAATGTATCTGCTGTAGGTGTACTTCTTGCTTTTGTTGAGAATTTGTTGTTTTTGTTGTAATTATGGTTGTTTCTGTTGAAATTATTGCTGCTATGTTGAAAGTATTGAAATATTGTTATTTTTGCTGAGGTGTTGTTTATGTTTTTGTCTATTTGTTTCCTCAAAGTTTTGTTTCTCTTAAACTTGGGACATAATAAAATGGGACAAGTAACTATACCTACTAGATAAGCAGTCTTATGTTGGTGTTCAATTGGCACCTGTTTGATGGATAAATATAATGGTCAGTTCCTATATTTATGTTGTTATATTGAAAAATTAGATCAATGAAATCTATTTTAATTCTAAAGGACTGTTTAAGTCTTATGACAGTTGACTCATATTTTTCTTATTTACACTGTTTACTTCTGGCAAAGACTTTTTATAAAGATCAACAAGACAAAATGGTGGCGAGTGCAGCTAATTTGATGATAAGATAAGATGGTGCTTAAATACCTTCAGTTGTCTGTCCCTTTATATCATGTCCCAGGATGAACTGAATGTTCTTTTTGTTAAACTTATTCTTCTGCTTAGTGGTTAAATGCATGTAGCTTCATATTTTCTTAAACTTTTTTTGTGGCAACTTTAGTGAAAACCTTTGGATGGTATGTTGAGTGTCACTTGTTACCTATAGAACATATTGTTGGATAACAAAAAGAAAAAAATATGAGGATTCATTTTTTAATGCTTATCTAAAAGTTATATTTCCATTTTGTTCATAATGATAATCATCACTTTAGAAGTTACCCTAAAACTTACCAATATATTACCAACCAGGGAGCAACAAAATAATCTTACTAAGATATCTGATGAATAAGTTCAATTACTTTCTAAATTACAAAATTTTAGTAAGGTTAATTGCAGTAGGACTGTTTAGTTGTAGGGGAACTCTACTGAAATATTTTGGCATGACAAAACATTCAAGATAAATGTAAGATGAAGTTATAAACCAGTAACTTCTGTGCAAAATTTCAGGTAATTTTAAGCTCTCACCATTTTTCCAGAATAATTATTTTATTTGTAAATTGACACATTTGTCTATTAGACATACCTTTAAGATAAACTCTCTTATAGACATATGCACTCCTCTATTAGTCGCAGTAAAATTCAATGACTAGACAAAGTTTTATTATATTCTAAGGCACAGTGTCATCTGTATTACAATCATTTATACAACTCTTTCAACCTTTTAGATGCTGTCACCTATAAAATCATGTCACATGATCATTAAACCACAGCCCAGAGATTAGACATGCTTTCTTTTTCAACTTCCTTTTATAATTATGTCAGATGAATTATACAAAGAAAATACTGAAAAGTGTATCTTTTCTAAAAACAGAAAATTTTACTATATTTGATTGATTAAAGAGAGAAAAGCGAAATAGTAAAGATCAGCTGAAGATGAGGGTTCATTTCCATCCCTCCGTGAAAATTGAGATAGATGATTATGATGCACCAAAACACAATGCAAAACAACTCTGGCGTAGATTATTTCATGTTATCCTGGCAACTAGAAACATGGTGAAGTAGAAATATGATATATGTACACAATTTACAAATACATATATATGTGTACTGTTCACTTGCTAGATTTTGGTGATGGAAAAGATACTGTATCTTTTTATATCAGGGAAAGGCAAAATATAAATCATACTTTGTCATGTGTTTATTATATATAACAGGTATTTACTCATATATTGTTGTTGTTGTGGGTTTTTTTTGCACTCCTGTCAGCGATTATTATAAGAAGCACTGTTTCACTCATATTATTATTTTTTTAAAGGAGACAGTGTTTTCACTTGTGTAATTATTGGCAATGTAAAGGGACACTAATTTCACTTGTAAGATAATTGGCAACATAAAGCAACATTCATTTCACTCATAAAATTATTGGCAATGTTAAGAGACTCTAATTTCACTCATATAATTGTTGGCAATGTAAAGAGTTACTAATTTTACTTGTTAAATAATTGGCAACATAAAGCGACACTAATTTCAGTCATAAAATTATTGGCAATGTAAAGAGTTACTAATTTCCCTTTTAAAATTATTGGCAGTATATAAAGACAGTCTTATTTCACTCATATAATTATTGGCAATATGAAGAGACACTAATTTCACTCATATTATTGGCAATGTAAAGAGTTACTAATTTCACTCGTAAAATTATTGGCAATGTTAAAAGACACTTATTTCACTCATAAAATTATTGGCAATGTTAAAAGACACTTATTTCACAAATATAATTATTGGCAATGTAAAGGGAAACTAACTTATTTCAGTAATACAATAATTGGCAATGTAAAGAGACTTATATTTCAGACAGTAATTTCACTCATATGTTATGTAGATGTATCACTCAAATACTTATTGGGTTAGGGTTACATTCTGTTCATTAATATACCCTATAAAAGTCATAGATATAGATAAATCATTGTTTTAAAAGAAAACATTTTCACTGTATATCATTGTTTCTGATGTTAGGCATGATTTTATCCATATGTTCATTGTTTCTGGACCTCTGTTTGACTTTTTATTTAACAATTTGAAAAAGCATTAGGATTTAAGAATAGGTACCTGTAAGTCATTACATGTGCATTCTTAGGTGGCCTTTTATTCTCCCTTATTGTTCTTTTAGGGAAAATATAGCCACAAGTTACAAGCTTACAAAAACATCAAAGAAAAAAGTACAGTAACCTATTGTTCCTGTAGCCACCTTGGTATCAAAAAGTTAGCACAGGTGTACAAACAATAGTGGAAATGTCATTTAAGAGTCCAATGGTTTTTATCTAGGCATGATTCCAAATATATCCTGTAATCAAAAGACTTAAAAAGTTATGGATATTTATGATGTTTAATTTAAAGTGTGAAATATTCATGAATTATGACAGAAATGTCTAAACATTTATGAACTTTTGATATAATTAAATGTGCTGAATATTAGAAATGTACCTTAAAATAGAAATATACTGAATAGCTTAAAATCTACTTAATATTCATGGGCTTTTGATAAAAACATACTGAATATTCATAAACTTGTATCGCATTGAAAGGATCAGTATACTTGATAATGAGAAATTATTTAAAACCATGTGTATTCACTTCTGTTCAATTACCGTAGTTAGAATGGCAAAAAATTATGCAACACATGATGAATAGAACTGATAAATACATGTCAGGGATTAACATTTTAAATGGCATTATATCCATTTTTTCATTGTCAAGTTGAGATAAATTAATTGACTGTACATATTTCAAAAGATTGACTATTATCAACAGTTAATATCTTTTATATTAAGAATTGAAAGTTACAGGTCAATTCCAATTATTTACAGAAATTCTCTTGAACCATGTGAGTTATTTCTCATTATGTGAAGTACATTATAAAATTGAAAGGAATTATGGCAAAACATAAACTTATTTTGACTTTCACCTATTCATGCACTATATACCCATGGATGGCCATAATGTCACTTACAAAAGGTGCTCTTGAATCCACAGATACAATGATTCCACGGAAGTGCTTGTGAAAATGAAATTTTCAAACATCAAGCATCATAAAATAAAAGTTTGCCTTTTTTAACCTTAAAGCAATAAATGTGTGTACTAATTACTTCATAGATGTACAAAAAATTATAATCATTCATTGATGTTTGAAATGTCTTTTTAATGAGAACGTTGCCTTTTTTCTTTACAGTCAAAGAAGAGTAGTTTTAGTAAAAAGAAACAGAGTTCCAAAGATGCAGATGATGAAGTAGAACAGCTGAGTGGTATGTTTTTACTTATGCTGTATATTTAATGTATTTGCCCTGCTTTGAATTTGGATCAACCCACTTAATATTTAGGGCAAATTTAATATTTAGGACTTTTCTCAAGGAATATAAAAAAACTGAGCTATCAACTGTATAAAATATGATAAACAAGATCAACAAGGAAAGGCTGCCTTCAATGAATGCAAAAGTTTAGTCAGACTGCACATGTTTGTGGGCTTGTGTGGCAAAGGCTGCTAGCTTCAGGTTACAACAGTCTGGCCTAGATCTTGACAAGTGGCAAAGGCTGCTAGCTTCATGTTACAACAGTCTGGCCTAGATCTTGACTAGTGGCAGAAAGGCTGCTAGCTTCATGTTACAACAGTCTGGCCTAGATCTTGACTAGTGGCAAAGGCTGCTAGCTTCAAGTTACAACAGTCTGGCCTAGATCTTGACAAGTGGCAAAGGCTGCTAGCTTCATGTTACAACAGTCTGGCCTAGATCTTGACAAGTGGCAAAGGCTGCTAGCTTCATGTTACAACAGTCTGGCCTAGATCTTGACAAGTGGCAAAGGCTGCTAGCTTCAGGTTACAACAGTCTGGCCTAGATCTTGACAAGTGGCAAAGGCTGCTAGCTTCATGTTACAACAGTCTGGCCTAGATCTTGACTAGTGGCAAAGGCTGCTAGCTTCAGGTTACAACAGTCTGGCCTAGATCTTAACTAGTGGCAAAGGCTGCTAGCTTCAGGTTACAACAGTCTGGCCTAGATCTTAACCAGTGGCAAAGGCTTGCTAGCTTCAGGTTTCATCTGTCTGGCCTAGATCTAAACTAGTGGCAAAGGCAGATAGCTTCAGGTTCCAGCAGTCTGGTCTAGATCTAAACAACTGGCAAAGGCTTCTAGCTTCAGGTTCCAGCAATCTGGCCACAAGCTGGCCTAAATCTAAACTCTTGACAAAGGTTCAGGTTCCCACAGAAATTGTTCAATCCTCAGGCTAGCTAGAATGTTTTAATTTAGCTTTGACATTGAATTATTATTGTCATTTGTCTCTCATCACTAATAACATGTACGTGGGATTAGCAATTGATCACTTGCTGATAAATTGGTAATCCAGGAAAGCCAGTTAGGCGGACAGAAGGCTGAGATATGACCAAGACTGTGTTGAAATCAGCATAAAACCAACAAACAAGTGCACCAATGAACACAGACTAGATCTCTATTACTTTTTGATTATATTTTAGCAGGCCCTTTTTTTGTTTTTAATTGCTGAAATAAATGACTTTTGACAGTGTTTATTGGACCCCAATGAAGGTATGCTAAATATTAAAACTGGTAGTTTCAATAAAATATAAGAAGAAAGAAAACTGAGTTTCAATGTGTTGTTCTCCCTTTCTTACTTATCTAATTTTGTTTAATTTTTTAAGGTGGTCCAGTAGATCCTGTGTACAGTCTCTTGAAATGTGCCGCTGACCTGCCGCGATCGGGTGGTAAATCTCCATGCCTCTTACATCAACACTGTAGTGGCCAGCATACACCTGCGTATGTCCGCTACCCAAGTGGTGGAGATAGCAGCGGTAATACATCCAAAACATCTAGTCCATCCTCCTCCGGTAAGTCACGCCCTACAATTCTCTCAATATACCATGATAATCACTTGTAGCTCTGTCTTAAAACTGTTGTGTTTATAAAAATTTGTTTAATTCATAAATACAGCAGTTTTATTATTTTCGATACGATGACAAGAATAAAGTAGAATATTTATGTAGTACCAAAATCTAGTTTCATCCTATGACTATTGTATTTAGAATTCATGCCCAAAATGCCAGTCAACAAGTTTCATTACCTGATTCCTTTATTTGATGGGGGAAGGCATGGAAATGAAGGAATCAGTCTAATTTTTTCCGTTACTTTTAAGACTGGTTCCAAATCATGTTTTAGGACTGGGTTATTTTGCTAGTAAAAGATAGGTATTAATTTTTTAGTAAAAATTTATTTTTTAATAAAAATCTTTTAAGTTTAAGCTTCTAAGCTAGTCATTTTATTTATACTATTTAGTGTCAGAAGAATTAAGTAGGGTTTCTTTTTCTTTTGTTTATAGGTTAATGTAGAAAACTTTTCATTTCATATATGCATTTATGATAGGCATTCATTTATAAGTCAGTGAGGTTTCATATAGTGAAAACAGCAAGAGAGCTTAAAGCAATGAATAAAAAAATATATATAACACATATTTGAAAACAGAATGAACAAAAGAAAATCATGATCATTAATTTTTATGGTCTGATGAAAATGAAGGTTTTGATATATTCATCTTTGAGTAAAAGGGTTAGCAAAAATCGACCTAACATTTTCACTTATGGGAATAAACTGACTTAAAGATGATCATTAATGACTAAGTTTGTTGTTAGTTTTGCCATTTTGCAAACAAATAGTTGAGCGTTTCATTTTTCAGCTGTAATCTGCAGTAATTTTAGCGGATCAACCAATGATAATGTGCCTCACAGCTCTAAACCTGCCTACTTGCATTTAGACCACACCTCTTTTCCTGATGAGCACACCCCTTCGACCAATCAGAGTGCAGCAAGATCATGTTGCCATGCTACTAAATCTTGTAACCACTCCTTAGTAGAAAAACTTGATATAAATAAAGTGTACAGTAGAATCCAGCACAAAACTTCTCCTCTAAATACACCTGAGGCACCTGAGGGCGAGACTGTCCCTTGTTTCACTGGCTATATAAGAAGCGAGGGTACAGTTGGTTGATTTTGTGCTAATGTTTTTCAGAAAACAAATTACCAAAACTATAAACGGTCTATAGTTAACAGAGCTGTTAAGACATGAGAAGTTGAAGTGAAGTTGATATTTTATATTATCAACTAGACACCTGTACCAATTAATTTTGAATTATTTTATTGAAATTTGAAGCGATTCTTTTTCCACATGATTGATTTTTTTGTTTAACCAATATGTTGTTGATAAGGAAGCTTTGTAGCGATGCTTGTAGTTTTCCACTATGCTATTATGTTTTGCACTGTTTACATCGGAACATTCATTTTAAGACATTTGATTGGTTAGGCTTGCTTTGTTGGGCGTGTTTCAAATTTTAGCTTTCCTAGGTGCAGCATACCTTAGGTGAACTTTCTTGCCCACTCAGTATCCAATAGAAAAGTTTCTTTTCTTTTTTTTGTAACAAATTAAAGATTGGTATGTGAATTACACAATATTGAAATGAACAAGTTGTGATTTTTTTTCAAACTGAGTGACTGAATATTAAGATTTTGCTTTCCTATCATTTTTGCCAGCTTTTCAATTCATGTGAGTGATATAGGTTCAAAATAGTCCTCTTGTTACATTATTTATATGAGGTGGAAGTAACATTCTTGCTTTGATTGAATAACTAATTTTGTTGCGTCTTTCTAAAGTTGTTAATAACTTGTTTGTTGAGTGATATAACTGGTCTATGTGCAGTATTTTATGTCATGTTTAATGATGTCCTGTGATGGCATGGACTGGTGGTTGGAGATTGTAGCATTGTTTGATAAAAGTGTAGATAAAGTATCACTTAAATTACATTTTATGGTTAGTACGAGTCCTTATTCGGATGATGACGGTTCTGTTGCAATTTCTTTACATTTTTCTTGTTATTTTTTTTTTTTTTTTTTTTTTACTGTGCGGAAAGAAAAAAAATGGCATTGCAGTTTTAAACTTTCTCATTTAGAATTTCCAATCCTTTTAAACTATGTCACCAGACAATATTTATTTGTGTCTATCTGTGAAGTAAAAAGTCATTATTTTCTGATCATTATTTCACATTCATAGTTGTTTAAAGGTAGGAGGTGTAATTATGATAACTATTCCACCAGAAATAGTGTTTTTAGGATTTCTCCTTCATTTTGGATATATTTGGGTATTTTTCACTCTCATATTTTAACCTTTTGATCACAATTTTCACATATAGCATTCATCTTTGTACAACTCATTGTCGTAGTCACAAATGCACATTGCATCATTTAGATCAATCAGCACATTATTGGAATGAAGCTTACAGCACCTGTCTTTCAGTTTTATTGTTACCAGAGCAGCCTTTTACCAGTACTACATCACAGGATTAACGTTTGATAATAGCACATCAGTATTTCTGTTTTTACTCCAACATTCCAATTTATTTTTTCTTTGTTTTTGACAGTGATGAAATTTTATTTGTTATCACCTTTTGATTTGTAGATGTAAGAGCTTGTGCTTCACCTGACAACCTAGGCTCAGACTTCAAGAATTTCTACAAAGTTAGCAGCCCTGCCAAGAAAAAAGCTTCAGCCTTTGACCCTGTTTTACCTTTATAAGGCTAGATAAAATAATATTACTTTGCCTTGCCCTTACCCATATTAATGTGATATTTTCCCTGCAATTATTTTTTATTAATTTAGAGAAAAATAAGTTTTATGTTTTGAAAGAGAAAGCATGAGTGAGATTTTTTTGGTATTAATAAATCAGATAATATATTAATATAAAATAATTTTCTTGTAAGAAAATTGATTGTTTGGTAATGAAGTAAATCGCAAGTCAATAACTTGTCAATTTTTTTCTTTAATTATACCCCCAAAAACGAAGTTTGGGGGGTATATAGGAGTCACCCGGTGGTTGGTCGGTCGGTCCAGACGTCCGTTGCATTTTCCTTGTCCGGAACATAACTCAAAGACTAATGGTCGGCATTCAATATAACTACATACAATGGTCAAGCACATTGAAAGGAAGTGCAGTGCACAAGAACCATAACTCTATCTTGACTTATTACAGAGTTACTGCCCTTTGTTACTTTTCCTTGTCCGGGGCATAACTTGAAAACTACTGGTTGGAATTCAAAACAACTTCATACAATTGTCAAACACAATAAGGGGAAGTGCAGTGCACAAGAACCATAACTATCTAAAGTAATTACAAAGTTACTGCCCTTTGTTGCTTTTCCATTGCTTTTTTTTTGTCCGGACAATAACTTAAAGACTAATAGTTTGAATTCAATATAACTACATACAATGGTCAAGCACATTGAGAGGAAGTGCAGTGCACAAGAACCATAACTCCATCTTTACTAATTACAGAGTTATTGCCCTTTGTTACTTTTCCTTGTCCGGAGCATAACTTGAAAACTACTGTTTGGAATTCAATAAACTTCATACAGTTGTAAAGGACAGTAAAAGGAAGTGCAGTGCACAAGAACTATAACTCTATCTTCAGTATTAAAATAGAGTTATTGTCCTTTGTCTTTCTGGACTTATTACAGAGTAATTCAATTTAACTTCATCAATGGCCAACCACATTGAAAGGAAATGCAACATATAAGAACCACAACTATCTTTAATTGCCCACAACCATAACTCTATATTTCAATTCTTTTACAAGGTATTCTGTTACTAGTAACATCCTCATTTCCAAAGCAGTCTTGTAGGGGTATTAATCACATTAAGTGATAGTTCTAGTTTTAATCAATTTATCAGAAAGGTAAATATACAGTTTGTAAGATATTCTGTCAAAGAATAAAATAATTTCTTCCCCTTCAATGAAATCTTTGCTGATGGTCAAGATCTGAAAGAGAGCCACTGTCTGAAATACAATTTTAACTTAAAAGAAAAAAATGTATTTTCTCCCGATAAATGTTTTGCTTCATATCTGAGTGAATGTCCATGGAAATATGATACTTAAAATTACACTTAGTCTTCCAATTGAAAAATAGAAAACACGTTTTTCCCACCAAAGAAATCTTTGTTTAAAATCATTCTTAAAAAAAGAGCTTATGAAATACTAGCTTCTACTCTAAATATGGAATACATATGGTTCAACCAATGTAAGTTTTCTAATGAATGTGATACCTTTTGTACAATTCAAAAGAGGATTCAAATTATTATTACAACTGACCAATGATAGTTTTTTAGATGTAGTAAATTAATAAATGTATGAAATATCTCATGTGCTTTGGAAAAAATAAAAGTTATTAAGGATTGCAAAATAATTTCATTAATATTAACTATAATTGTCAGGTATTATGTGTACTTATGTTAAAGGGACTCCACTGAGGGTGTTAAACATGACGGGACGGGAAATAATTTTTCAAGATTATTTTTCCATTTGATGTTGGTCTAGACCAATAACTTTTATGCAAAATTTCAAATCAATTGCTCACATCACTTTTTCCAGAATAATTAATTGTGAGAAATGACCCAAATTTGAAAAGCCTTGCAATGCTTTACACTCAAATCAGGCTGAAAGTAGCATAAAAGTATAATTTTCAATATATTTCTAAATATATTTTTAAATTTTCTAATGCTATTCTGTATTAGGAATTAAAATTTTATGTTATACGTTTTTGGACTTCAGTGGAGTTCCTTTAAAATATTAAGCTGCAATTATTTTTAAAAAGAGTTGTTTACCATGGCCAGATACCTGTTGTAGAAAGATGAAGATATGGGGGAAGTTAATCATTGAGAAAATTAGAACAATCAATATATTTTAACAATTTGAATGTGATACTTTGAATGCATTGTTAGTGATAAACTGGCTTATTGGATTGGCAGAACACATTTTGCATGAGTCTTGTATTATTGCATGGGTTCTAGAA